CACATCTTCTGTTAGGGAAGCAAACAAGGGCTGTGGAAGAAAGCGGCATTGAGGCTCATGTTCTACTGCTGGATCCCACAAACCAGCAGTCGATGCAGCAACAAAAGGAAAGAGCAGTAAGTATGCTGAAATCGATCCAAGTGCCGATTCATGTTTATGATCAGCAAATTGTTGTTGGTTCTACTGCCGTAGATGGTGATCCACTACAAATAATGGAGGAAGATCGGCAACAACCTCCTGTGACAATTGACGGACAAAAACACCCCTAGGATTTGCAAAATCTAATCAAAGCGCAGTCAGCGCTTCCGAGGATTGAACATGGAGGCAATGAATATTCACTTGAACAAAGAGGCTCGGAAGAGACCGTTCAGCCTGCTATGGATGGTTTGATGGTCGAAGTCGCACTTCCAATTTCTGTTGAAGTCGTTTCATCTCCGACTGCGCTCCAACCCGTAACTGCGAACCAACCACTACTGCCAAAAACATCCCTGATGTTCAGTCTTCTGCAATTTTGAAGTTTGATGCCGGTAGTGAAGGAATAGCTGCATCATTGTAAGAGGAAATCCGGCCGGTGGAAATCCCCTTGACTTCGAGGCTAAAATAGAACACATCTGCTTCTGCAACTTCCGCGCAATCGACTCCTTCAGACCCGAAATTTTCAATTTTGAACGTGAATAAAGGCCATGATTCTTTCTCCAAATCTAATCTGGTTGGTTCAGTTTCAAGAGAAGAAAAGTTGAAGTCAAACTCTCCACAATCCTCAAATACGGAAGGAATCTCTTCAACAAATATATCCAGTAATAGCTCTACTCAAAAGTTAAATCCCGAGTCTCTAAAATTTACCATCTCTCATCAGCCGCAAATTATTCTTCTAGAGGTTTTACTGCCAATTACGGCCCCAAAAACGTACTTGTCTAAGGATGATATGGATATAGGGAAGGATATCGAGAATTTTAACTCAAATTATTCGATCGAAGAAATAAATTCTGAAGGTGGACTAAATCATGCTTCGAATGGTTCTAATGATGACGATTTCGATATGGAGTATGCAATGGAAAAATAGTCCTTTTATAGTGAAGTTTCTGCTCTAAGATATCACAATCATTTGAAAAAAGCCAAGGCTAAAAAGAAAGTTCAAGTTCATCGGTCTACTAGATTGAATAGTAACTTTACTTTAAGATCAAAATTGTATTTGATATAGGGTTAGTATATTCGCTGCCCTGTGTTTTCTTTATTTTTAATAAAATTTGTTTTTTGTTTGAAAAAAAAAAAAAAAAGATTTTCACTTAAAAAAATTAATCAAAAGGAATTTTGGTTTTGTTTTTGGTACAAAGGAATTTTATTTTACTTAAATTGTTGAGAAGTTAACAGAGGAAGGTTGTGAGTTGTGACTCATTTTGTTATTCTGTCGGCATTTGTTGTGACTCATTTTGTCATTCCGTGGCTAATACTGCCAAGTCGACTGTTCGTAATAATTATGTTTGGTTTGACTCGTCCAACTTTATCACTCAATGGATTTTGTACGTCTTGTCGACTCGCCTCGTGAAATTTCTTCTTTCTACTTTTACTTTAAAAAGTAATGATCAAAAGAGAAAATTATGATGAAAGGAAAAAATAAAAAATAAAAGTAAAATGCCTTCATGTTAATCTAGGAAATTATGGAAAAACATTTTATGATTAACTCCAAGGTTCTGTTAATCTTGAAAATTTACCACAGCTGCCTTTAAAAAAAAGAAACTGTTTGTACCAAAAACTTTGGCGATTGTCCGGTGTTCTTCATGTTTAAATGCAGCCAGTAATTAGCCTTATCCCACCATAAAGACAATTTCAACAAGCCTTTTCTCAACCTACTTGCATTTTGGCTGAGGATAAGACTCTATGTTTGAAACCTACTGATGAACCGCTACTATTACTGGCAATGACTGTAACTTTACCTTTCTACGATCAAGATCAATAGTTAATTAATTAATTAACCACTACTCCAATTATCAAGATGAGGGCTGAATTTCCCCAATCAACCATAGTTTTAATCATTTCCTCAGTCATCATCACTCATCGATTATCATTCCAGGTATTTGTAGAGAGCGCATCATTTGTATACGTGTGTCAAAAGCTCTCATAAATTCTATCGCAGTACAATTCCTCGGGAAAGAATTTAAATATCTAGCCAGTCTTAACTGTCATTTGAGTACTGTATTAAATAAAGCTTGTTGGTAGTTGGTCTGGTTGGGAGATACAATAAATTCAAAGATCAACAAATTTTGGTTCCATCTCGTGCCTATACATTTGGAGAGTTTTTCACCAGCATTCATCCAGTTATGGTTCTAAATCATTCGCCGGACAACCAGTTCAAAAATTTTCCTTTTCTTCAATCTTCATTTTGTCTTCTTTTCCTGGAGGGATAATAATTTTAGTTCAAGTGCTTAGACATATAGAAGAGACCTTAGAGATTTCAAATAGAAGTGGCATCTCGTCTACTGCGGCTTTGGATGGATTTAGGCACCACGATTCACAGCTTGAGTTTGAAACGTTTTAGAGCCTCTGAGCCCTTCTTGTTTATCCAAAGCTTCCTACAATTCCTCGCTAACAAAAAATCCTACGTGGGTCTTCCAGGCCACAATCTTGGACGGCTGGAGTGCACTATATGATGGCCGTAACACCATAAACCTCCAAAAACATATGCCTTAGGAGGTTTGTGCCCCAGCGCAAGATTCAACGTGGACACAGGATGGGAAGCCTCATCATTGAAATCTACATGAAACTCCAGGAACATCATGTGGGTGATTGTCATATAAATTCATAGTCTCAGAGTTCACACTAGTACAAAAAGGATGATTTTGTGTTCTATGACTAAGAGAAATGAATGGTAGTAGAACAGGTAAGCAATATCCATTGCGTCATTTTCAATGTCCATATCCTTCAGATTTGCTGTAAATAATTTTAATTTCTTTTACGACTAGCTCCGTGCATGAGTTTTAAGCTAAGTTAAAGTTTGACTCCCTCCATTTAAAAATTATTGTAATCATTTCAACACAGTACGGTGCATTTTAATCAAGAATGAGCGAAAATTTATAGGGTGATAGAACAACCTATGCTTGATTCTGATAGCAAAAAGCAAGAATTCAGAATAAATATGCCGAAGTTAACTTCGCATAAATTGTCAACAAGTGATCAAATTTGAGCAGATCAATATAAAATAGTGGAGGCAAGCAGCTCTTTTTCAGATGGCACGAACAAAGGCACCAAATTTCAGTTTTATAATATAAGTACTCCTTCCGTCACATATTAACACAAAAGTTTAACAAAATAAATCATTAATAGGGTCTACCCGTTTCCATGTTACATCAATCGCAATGATCAAGCGCCACTGTTATCCTTGGTCTACTTTTCCTTCTGCACAATCTCCTTATAATAGAGTAGGAGTTGAAAATGAAAGTGCGAAAATTCTCGTGTTGAGAAAAAAGGCACTCGAGATGACGTAATCTCGCCGTTAGTTATTCAAGCTTAGGTAATATTTTCATCGGATCGCAATTGATGTAGGTACACAACAATAAAAAATTAATGTTGACAAGTTAAGATAGGAAAGTTGAGAGTTGTGACTCACTTGCTCATTCCTTCCTCATTATGGCCGCACTACAACAAAAAGGGGATAATAGTACACATTTTTATGTACCAATAAGTAGGTTTATAGGACACTTAGACAATAGGGCACAATCAAAAAGTGTTCTCTATTTTTTAGTCACAATAGGTGTATAAGATACTTAAGAGTGTCCTATTAAATCAACCCTTAATAATACACTTGATAAGTGTATTATAAATGTTCAGGACACTTGAGCAAATAAGACACTTGGAAATGTCTCAATAAGAGCAATACTATTAGGACAATTTAAAGTGTCCTAAAAAGTGTTATACTATTAGTACATTTTAAAGTGTTTCAATAAATCAACCCCTTAATGATACACTTAATAAGTGTATCATAAACATGTGGGACACTTGAGCAAATAAGACACTTGAAAAATGTCCCAATAAGTACGCTAATATTAGGACACTTTAAAGTATCGCAAAAAGTGTTAAAATATTAGAACATTTTAAAGTGTTTCAATAGATATAGAGCTATTACAAAATTTTGGAGTGTCCATAATTTAAATCATAATTTAAATTTGAGGCAAGAGAAAATGTAATTATTTTTATAATTAAAAAATTCATGACATAAAAATTGATAAAAAGTATCAATTCACAAATCTAATATGTCTTTCAGATTGTACACTAATATGTATGATTACAAATAGAATACTATGCCTAGTTTCTAAGTCGTTCTGTAACACCGGCTCAATCATCAACATGCCTGTCCTTTACTTTTGTGTAAATCCCTTGTCCTTTGCTTTTTCTCAGATCATAACACCGGCTCAATCATCAACATTCTTTGGCATGACACAACTCAATCTTCAACATGCATCACCTGCACAAGCTCAAAGAAAAGCAATTAAATGAATGGTTCATCTAATAATCCCAAATTCAACAACTCATGAATAAGAATGGATTTCCGACTAGTCATGTTGTTTGTGCATCATAGAGGAACATGACCAGAAGAATGAACCAGAAGAATGAAACACTAATGCTAAGTGCACACATAAAAGGATAAAAAGCCTAATACAAGATAAAATAAACCAAAATCAGAAAAACATGTATATTTTGTTCGGCACATCAAATTCAAAGCAGTAAAGTAACATGTACTTCAGTTCAGGTCTCCAAAAACTTTCCGCATGTATGCCCTCGGAAGAACAAACAGCGATTAAGCACTAAAAGGACAAGGAAGCAGAACTTGAATAACTATCAACATAATCATCCAAAGACTATAACAATCGAAAAAGAGCTGAAGGAGATCATACCAATTTGCGTGACCATGCAATGCATGTTCCAACTGCATCCCCGATTGTGTTTAAATTTGTATAAAGCCTCATAAGCTCTTCTTCCGACTCCATGGCGACATAAATATGCACTTAACCGCAACTAGTTCGTAGTCGTGCTCCCCCAACAACTTGATTTGGGTCCAAGCTGTTTAGCCACCCTAGAGCAACAACCTTACCCTCCATATTTTTCAGAAGTACCTCACGCCCAACCTAATATATGGAGGAGAAAAAAACAAGAAGAGTTATAACATGAATATGTTTATTCTATTTTAGTATTAAGCCATGATAAGGTGGTATCATAGAAGACTCTAATTAATGAGACTGAAACAGTTAGACAGAGTAAGCCATTTTACCTTCAAATTTTGTCCCAATTTTGTTGAGTTGGACTGGTTTCCTAGTGATGACACTTGCTGATGTTGCAACTTTTCTTCCACTCTTGTAAGTAACCTCGACGTGTTGTCCATCTTTTCTTCTATTCTTGCAATTGTTGCTTGTTGTTGTTGAACCAATTCCTGATGCTCCAAAACCATTTGGTAGCATGCATTTCGATTTGGATTGCTGCCCCATAAATCTGAAGGACACACTCCTAATCCCGTCATTCGAACTCTACCTGGAGGATCTTTGCCCATGACTTTGGCAAAGGTATCATTAGGTCCAAGTGGATCTTCTGATCCTGGAGGTAGTTTTGACTGAATATCTTTCATTTCCATCGACAATAACAACACAAAAAGTTTCAGCAAGCCATCAAGAGAATAATCAGGAATAATTAATGACAAAGTAGTATATATAAATCCTTACAACTTTAGCTCCAACTTCAGGATTTGAAGGATCGCACTCAGAATCACAATAGCATGCAGCGAACAGCTCCACACGTGTGGGGGCTCGTCCTAATCTTTCAGTCTATGAAAAAGAAATTAATACCATGATAAGTACATTTTTATCACTGATTTTTCAGTTTAAAACAAAATATACAGATCTCTTACCAATTCTGCAGTGATTTCAGCAAAACTTAACTTTCCGGTTGTTGAAGGCATCACCAACTTCTGCCTATGTTCTTTATTTCTTTCACTCCATTCCTGGATAGAGAAGTGTTAGTAGACGTTGACGTAGAAAATTCAATATGTTAGCGAAAATACGATTGTTGGTATAGAAAGGTAACCTTCACTTCTTCCATGTTCCAATGTAACAATAAACTTTTCCATTGATCTTTAACTACACGATCTGGTTTTCTTTTCACTAGAACATCCACAGGTAATGCAGGATTGAAATAACAGCGTTTGATTCTTGATTTCCAATTTTTCCACTTCTTGTTTGTGGATTTCAGAATCCATGGATGCATGCCTTCGGGAACTTCAAACCTCTCCTACAAAACAATGGATAAATATAAATGCATACACATAGAATACGAATGCATACACAAAGGATATCATTTACTAGAAACACTTCTAAAGAAATTAGGGTTTACCTTAACCATCCTTATTATTGCATCTTTTATATCCTTATGCAGATGACGCCAATTAAACACATTAATTGGAACAAACTTGCCATTTCGTGCTAATGGGCTGGAAGTTAATGTTAAATTCAATCACAATAGGTTTTGCATTAGGGACTTTGGCCCAAATATCACCCATGAGAGTTGGCCCTCGAGTGGCCTTTGGTTGTGGCTTATTTGTCACTTCACTTGCTGCTAGCACAACAAAGGACAAAGGACAATTAGATAGAAACCTTCCAAATAAGGCACTAAAAGACTGCTAATAGGTATTGAAAGATAGATACTCATGAAACATAAGACCCATTGAAAACAGGGACAAAGAAACAAAAAGGGAAAAAAAATGCAAGAATAGCTAATGATGAAACAATCTCCTATTTGAAAATGCCGGGTTACATATAATATATATGTTTGCAATCAAGCCTACATGATTTGGAAGGAACTCAACCATCGATATTTTGAATTGATTCTTGGATTATCTCATATTGTTACCATGTTGACGATTATAAACATATAATATTGTTACTATTTTGGATTGATTCTTGAAGGTATATTTTTAAGTATATATACTAACTCACCAATAAAAGTAGTTAGAGGCTGACTTTTTTAGATCTTTTCTCAGAGTGATAAGAAATTTTGGCTTGTATATATTGCTATTATTATTATCAATCTTCTTCTTTCTTTTTTTTTTTCTGGTTAATTTGTTATCTATTTTTTTATTGATGCATATGAATATAAATAAGATACCAAAAAGTGTATTACCTATTTCATGACAGTAACCTAGCTTGTAGGTTTTAAGCTCATTGTGGAATGCATCTTCTGGCAAAACCTTTTTTCCGGCTGTCTACAATATTTAATCATTCAATGGAGATAGTTGGTTGTTGCCAGTAAATTCATGATTGTTAATTTTTTTTTCTGTTCTTTTTCTTTTTCGGACCTCTTGTCCTATATATGTCCTTGATCTCCCAGTTCTTCTCACGCATTCTTCGGTTAATTTGGTGCTATAGAAATTTCACAAGGCAACCAAAAAAAAGTCCATTTTTCTTGTATCTTCATTTTCCTTTTTCCTTTGTATTTTTTCTGGTAAGAATTAAGCTCAACAACTTAGCTATAGTAGTAATAAGGGCTCTTAGAGAGGTGGCGATGTGTAGGGACGGGACTGTGTAGGGGCTTGGGGGGTCTTAAGCCCCCCGGCTGGCTATAGATTGCTTAGGTGTTCCTATGGCCGGTGTTGTAGGTGGTTCGAGCATAAGGTTCAGCCCCCTCGAATGTATAAATTAAAACCCTTTAAAGGGGATGTGACGAGTCCATATCCATCACCGAGACTGGACTGGCCCATTAACCCAGAAAGGAGTCCAACCGACTCTCTTAGGACGGTTTAAGTTGTATAAACCTAATAGGATTCGGAGATTTTCCAGGAATTCTCATGCCTATAAATAGGGTTGATCACATCTTAGTACAGGTACGCAAATATAATATAGCTTAACAAACTATCCACTCAATGGTTCCGAAAACCTTTATTGACTTAAGCATCGAAGTGTCTACCCTCGGGAGACCCGCAAGGCTCTGTTTTGCAAAAAACCCTAGCCGGAGTTTCACTGTTAAACTGGCGGCGAGAATCCACGCTTCGTCAAGTGGCACGCCCAGTGAGACCCGAAAATAAGGGTTTATGTCACAAAAACCTTCTCAGGTTTCCTTAACATCTTCCAATAATAACTATGGTTGTAAGAACAACAAGTAAAATGGTCAGATATGAAGAAGACACCGATAGCACTGCATCTTCCGGCTGATGACATAGTCCGGGCGACCACACCACCCTGGCAGAATTCCAACGTAGACAAGAAAGGAAGAAAGCAGGAAAGAGCCAGGGCGGTGAACCTGAAAAAGAACCAACAAAAGAGCCCCTGGTTCTTGGTTCTTCCCAGCCAGATCCGAAGAAGCAAGACAAGGCCAATCATCCCCCCGAAAAGGAGGGTGTACCTTCTCCTCGAAATATGCCTGCTATCAAAAAGCATTTGGAGGACCAGAAACTAACCAAGATCGAGGGTGAACTCAAAAAGCTACAAGATGATAGCGATCAACAACTGAGGATGCAAAGATACGTCCTCGAAGAAACCAGGTGGCACTGTCTGTTTGGAAAACTTGATCCCATAGAACAGGAGTTGGGTGATTTGATCGACGAAAAAGAAGCTCGCAGAACCCTAGCCCTTCTTGAGAAGAAGCGGGGGAAGCGGAAGGTCCAAGAAAACGAGGATTACCAAGAAGTCAAGGGGTATGAAGACCCCCAGAAAAATCGCTCAAACGCCACTCGAGACACCATATTCTGAAACGCTTTTAGAGAAAAATACCCAGCATTTGAAATGGCCCTTGAAGAATTTGACGCAACATATCGACGTAAAAATACTCGAGAGTAGCATTATTCCCCGAGTATCGAGGTCATTGAAGAAGGAAAATGGAACCCTCCAAGGAGAACTAACTTGCACAACCGCCTGGGACCTAATTGGAATCGAAGAAGTCTTCGAAGAGATGAGTATAAACCTAGTCACGAACCGAATCAAGGTTACAGCAACATCGAGGACAATTATAACCGAGAATACCATCACCGTCCTCAGTAGTCACCTCCCAGACATCAGTAATACAATAGGCATAGAGAAAATCCGCCATATCTCCGTGGAGATCAACATGGAGCAAGAGATTAGAACGTCTTGATCTGAGAAGAAATGAGGGAGATCATCGGGATAGGGTTAGATCAAAGTCCCTTCATCCCTGAAATTCGAGATGAACCTAAGCCCCGAGACTTTGACTTCCCTAAAGAATTTAAACCGTATTCAGGAGACACCGATGTCTCCCAATGGCTGCAAGGATATGTCCAAGTTATGAGAATTCGAAACGCAACTACCAGTTTCATGGCTAAAGCGCTACCTTCCTACTTAGCGGGATCACCACAACGATGGTTTGGGCAATTACCAGAAGGGAGTATAATTAGCTTTGAGGATCTGTCCGTCAAATTGGCTACCCGATTCTTTCAGAGTAAACGAATATCGCGAATGTCCATTGATCTCTCCTCAATCAGACAAGGGCAACATGAGAGTCTCACCGACTTCCATAGACGGTTCATACAAGAAACCTTGTAGGTCGATAACATTGATGATTGAGATGTTCGCAACGGATTCATTCAAGGCCTCAACCCCTTTGGAAAATCCTCAATGTTGCGAGTCAAGCTCTCAACTAAGCCCCCCAAGAATGTCAAGGAGATGTCGGCCATTGTCGAGAACCACATACAACGAGAGCACACACTCAAAAGATCCCAGGAATCTTTTGCGTGGGTAGGACTAAGAGACAAATCAAAAGTTTCCATGGAGAACAAACCGGCACTGCCCAAGATGGATAGGTAGTTAACACCCCTAAACAAGCCACGATGAGAAATCCTCCAGCTATATAAGGACAAATTACCAGTCCTGAAACCTTTGGCTCCGAATCCAAATAGGTCAACATAACAATATTGTGAATATCATAAGGATCATGGCCGTTACACGGAGGATTGTCGAGAACTTAAGAGGGAAATCGAGAACGGGATTAAGTCTTGCAAGTTTCAGCAGTACGTACAAGGAGCCTCTCGGCAGAACAATAACAAACCCCAATCATGAAATTACCCTAAAAGAAACTTCAAAGACCCACCACGGGGAGATGGCAGGGGGAACAACTGGCAACCGAGAGCCAATACCCAACAACAACCTCACCAAATTACTGAAGCAACACCGCAGCCACTACAGCAACTCCCCCCAGCAAATCCGATGAAGCAGATCACTCACCAGGTAGGGCCTATTTATGGAGCTCCCCTCGAAGTCTTGTCCACCACGGCCATTAGGAACTCGTTGCGAACCATCAGCAAGAGTCCTCGATAGGAGCCTAGCCGCAAGAGGTTCAAGGGGACGGAGGCCATTGTATTCACAGATAGCGATGTAGTCCCAGATATCTGTCCGCATAGCGACGCCATGGTTATTGAGGCAACAATCACAAATGTAAAAGTCAGAAGGGTTTATGTGGATAATGGCAGCGGGGTCGACATCATATATAGCGATTGCTTCAAGAAGATGAATATCAAGAACCCTAGCATCCACCCAGCCACAATGCCCTTGATGGGATTTTCGGGTCACACCATTATTCCTGTTGGAATAATTAGCCTCCCCATCTTGGTAGGGTCGCATCCTAGGACGGTCACTTTAACCATGGACTTTGGTCTGATAAATACGCCTTCACGGTTCAACGTGATTCTGGGACGACCCTGGATGTGCCAAGCACGTGTAGTCTGGTCTCCCTATCACCTAGTAATGAAATTCCCGACAGAATATGGAGTTGGAGTAGTACAAGGATGCCAGCGTAGCTCTCGAGAATGCTTGCTCACAGCAGTCAGAATCGGAATAAAGACCGCGCATCTTAATCCGAGTGCTGCTACGTCGGAGTGTTACTCAATCTGACAAACATCTATACCACCACAGACGGAGGATCCCGAGACCTCTAATCTCCCATCGCTCAGCTATAAGACACGAGAGTTGATCCTGAGCGAGACTGACCCCGCCAAAATTGTTCAAATCGGCATTTCTCTCCGCGACCCATTGCTAGCCGAGGTTAGTGCCTTGCTACGGGAATTCTGTGATATATTCGCATGGTCGCCAACAGACATGACAGGAGTTCCTTGAGAAGTTATGGATCATAAGCGAAATGTCGACCGAAACGTCAAGCCGGTGCAGCAGAAGAAAAGGGTATTTGCTCGTGAATGCAATGACATCATCAATGAAGAAACAATGAAGCTCGTTCCTGCCAACGTACTCCGAGAAGTTCTATGACCCACTTAGTTAGCCAACCTATCTTGGTGCGAAAACTCGATAATTCTTGGCGCATGTGCCAAGATTACACTGACCTCAACAAGCATTGCCCCAAAGACTGTTACCCCTCAACAAGCATTGCCTCAACCTTCTCGACGCATACAAAGAATATCATCAGATCCTCATGGCCCGAGAAGATGCAGAGAAGACAGCTTATATCACTGAGATTGGGGTTTATTGCTATGACAAGATGCCCTTTGGACTAAAAAATGCAGGGGCAACGTACCAGTGTCTCGTGAATAGAACATTTCATGACCAAATCGGCCGAAACATCGAGATCTATGTGGATGACATGGTGAAAAAGACAAACAAAGACGAGCAAGTAGCTGCAAACATGCAAGAGATCTTCACAATCTTACGCAAAATTAACATGAAGCTAAACCCCAAGAAATATACTTTCTATGTTGGGTCAGGAAAATTCCTAGGATACCAAGTGCCCAAGGATGGAATCAGTGTCGATCCGGCAAAAATCGAAGCCATTTTGGCCATGGAAGAGCCAAAAACCGACAAAGAAGTTCAAAAACTCACAGGCTCCTTGGCACCTCTAAACAAATTCCTCTCTCGAGCCGCAGAGAGAAACCTTCCATTCTTCCATACCCTCCGCAAAGGAATAAAATTCGAATGGAATGAAGAATGCCAGAAAGCCTTCCAGGATCTGAAAGAACACCTTAAGCAGTTGCCCACATTAGCTTAGCTAGAACCGGGAGAAACCTTATATATTTATCTGGCAGCTCGAGAGAAAGCCATCTCAGCCATGCTCGTGCAAAGTAGAGATGGCAGAGAAATCCCCGTCTACTTCATCAGTAAAGTCTTGCAAAGGAGCAGAAACCCGCTATACACCCATGGAAAGACTCATCCTCAGCCTGGTCTTAGTCGCCCGATGCCTGCGCCCATACTTCCAAGTACACCCCATCATGGTTTTGACAGAACATCCCATTCAGCAAGTCCAACTCAAGCCAGAGGCCTCCGGCAGGATGATGAAATGGGCAGTCAAACTGGGCGAACACCACATCGAGTACAAACCATGAGCAACAATCAAAGGACAGGCCTTCGCGGATTTCCTGGTAGAATGCCTCGAGCTACCGACGTCCCGAAAATTATGGAACATATGGACGATCCTCCTACTCGCGTAAATATCAACCCTCGAGCCTGGTTACTATACGCCAACGGCTCTCGTTGTAATGAAGGGGGAGGGGTTGGTATCATATTAGCCAAACCTTCAGCTAACCCCGACATCGAAAGAATGAGAGAATATGACGCGGAATACACATATGCACTAAGGTTCGGATTCCCGGTCACCAACAACGTGGCCGAGTATGAAGCCTTGATAGTGGGGATGAACATGGCACTAAAGCTCGGGGTTCACAGGATACAAGTTTTTAGTGACCCACAGGTGGTAGTGAAGCAAATATTGGAGGAATATACAGCAAACGATGGGCAACTCAAGCGCTACCTCGAGAAAGTCCTCGAAATCAAAGACAAGTTCGAAGAATGCCCCATATCTCACATAGTTCGGTCGAAAAATAAAAGGGCAGACGCCCTCAGTAAATTGGCCTCCTCAAACTTTGCATACCTTAGTCACAAAGTATGGATTGAGATTCTCCCCAAACCTAGAATCCAAGAGGTCCCCGTGATAACTATTACCAAGGACGAAAACACTTGGATGACCTCGTTCATCCAATACCTCCAGATGGCACATTTCCAAGCAAAAAAACAGAAGCCAGAACCCTCCAGTTTAAGGCAGTTAAATACACATTGCAAGACGACATGCTATGCAAGCATGGGTACCTGCTACCCATGCTAAGATGCATTGGCCCAAATCAAGCAGCTTACGTACTCGAAGAAATATACAAGGGATCATGTGGATCCCATATGGGGGCAAGAGCACTCGCCAAGAAGGTCTTGCGGACAGGGCATTTCAGGCCAACAATCTTCAAAGACGCATACCAGTTTGTACAGAAATGCGATAAATGTCAACGCTTCTCTCCCATCACTCGACCACCGCAGCACGAGATGGTCAGCATCCAAAGCCCTTGGCCATTCTACCAATGGGGCACTGACATCATAGAAGCTAAACCGCTGGCCTCGATAACAGGAAGGAAGGTCTTGGATTTTTTTTGGCAAAACATTGTATGCCGTTTTAGAATCCCAAGGGTGGTCATCTCTGACGATGGAACCCAATTTGAGAGTAATCCTTTCAAGTCCTGGTGCGAGGAAATGCAAATCGAGTGTCGCTTTTCAAGCGTGGCTCATCCTCAAGCTAATGGTCAAGCGGAATCCATCAACAAAACCATCTTACATTGGATAGAGACCAAGTTGGATGACGCAAAGGGAGCATGGGCCGACGAACTTTCTCACGTCCTATGGTTATACCGTACTACTGCTCACTCTTGGATAGACGAAACACCCTATAGCTTAGTCTATCGCATTGATGTTGTCCTCCCGTTTGAAATAGGCTTGTCGAGCCTTCGAACAATAAAATTTGTCGAGAGCACTAATGACGATGACATCAAGCTGAACCTCGACCTGCTCGAGGAATGGCGAGATGCTCAGAATTCGAGAAACAAAGTATAAAGAGATTCTGCAAAGACATTACAAGAACTAGGTGAAAGCCACAGATCCCGCGGAGGGCGATCTTGTGCTAAGAAAAAATGAAGTCAGTCGAGCAGAAACTCCTCGAAAACTCACAGCAAATTGGGAAGGGCGCTACAAGGTTATCTAGACTTTCTAGGCAGGCAGCTACTGCTTACAAACCTTGGATGATAGCGGGACTATTCTCCCTTGATGGTGGAACATTCAGAACCTTCGCAGCTTCTATGTTTGAATCTTTGCTTGCTATTTGCCTATTGTGTGTTTTACTTGCTTTATTTACTTCGTCAGTTTTATCCTCTCATGTGTAATGCTAACCCGGGTCCTCGGGTAATTATTCAATAAAAGACATTACATATTCTTTTCATTGTCGACATTATATTCAGGACTAGTCATCGAGATGGACTCCCTATTCAGGGCCATCCTCGTTAAAGAGCCATGTATTCAACATCCGGACACAAAACCGAGGAATTCTCCTCACACACGCTGCAAAACGCAGTATCAAATCGAGGAATTCATACATAATTCCTTCAATAGAGCCGTGTACTTTACATCCGGCCTAAAAAGCGCTATATGAACTGATACTCGAGTTCTTTGAAAATAATCCACTAATTTCCTCCACACTACTGTGCGAGCTTATACCCATATTTTCTCTACACTATTACAAGGACTTCCTCGATAGGATTGTCAGGAGAAGGATGAATAATCCCCTTAAACCCATGCAAGCTAAGGAGATTCACGCATTGATTAAGCTTGTCTTTAAGATCCATGATCTCTTGGTCTTGGGCATGCATAACTCTTCTTGAGAACTTCGAGTTCGAGGATCCGCCGTTTCCTAATAACAGATTGTTATCTAATAACAGATTTTGCAGTTTGGCCATGTAATGTGTAAGAAGCTCAATCTCACGGCCTATCCCTTTCAATATGTCCGTGCCTGCAATGAAGCGGCGAGTTCTAGTCAAAATCATGTGTTGAACTCGGGCTAGCACTTGATGTTTCTCAAGGAACCAGGGGGACACGGTAATCTATTGTCTTTCCCTCAACCGAGCATTCTCGTTCTCCAGGATAACCAGCTCATCATGGATCTCGGCCTCGAAAGTCAATGAATCACTGTAGTCTTTCAAACTTTGAACCTCCCGACGCTGCATCTCCTCACGAAGTTCTTTAATCTCATTTATGAGATGCTGATTAACTTTCAAATTGTGCATCCTCATCGTGTCGAGAAGGTCATTCTCTAGGTTTGCCGCTGTCTTGATGCTATGCACGTCGGCACGACCTCTTAGAATCCCGCTAATCATGGAGTACAGTGGGTACTCACTCGATTGCTCCTCCGATAGAACAATGAGGTGAACGCGGTGGACAGGCCAACTATCCTGCTTTAAAAAGGATCGTAAGATATTTGCATCGAATCAAGGTAAAGCAAGAATGACGATGCTTGTGTAAACACGTAAAACGGAGTAATCAATTCATTACAAAAACGGCAATTCAATAGGCCTAACAGCTATTACAAGAGGCAGGATTCATACAGCATCATTGCCAGGAGGAGGGGTCCTTGGAAGGGTTCTGAGATGCGTCCTCAGCATTTCTCAGCGCTCCAGAGTGGTCAGTGTCAACAACATCCTCCTCAGTGTCTTTGTCAGCATCCTCGAGCTCAATATCCATGTACTCATCTGGTACATCAGGTGTGGAATCTTCTTCACTTGGGCCCCTGGCAAGGATGGTGGGTACGTCACAAGGAAACGATGCAATATCTGCAGGAGAACTCATTTTTGCCAAAGCACCAGTCAGAGCTTCCCACAGGGGCAGTTGCTCGAGGCTCAACTTTGTTAGGACCTTCACTATTGCCTCGTGCATGGTCTTCTTCGGGTCCTTCATCAGGACTTGCTTGAACCACTTGGCGTTGATAGGTCTGTCCTGATCGAGCCTCTTCAAACCTGCTACGCCAACCCGGTGCGCCCCGCACTTAGTGGCAACTAATGTCATCTCCTCGAGTGCTGCGGCCATCCCTCCTATGGACAGCATCTTATACATGAATGCAGCACACCACTGGTGCAGCTCCTCTTTCGAGATGTGCAAGCTAGCAAATGACTTCATCTTCTCATTCAGCTCATCATACTTAGCTTGTACCAAGGCAATCTCGGCCTACTTAGCTTGGACTTGGCGGGCCTTTTCCTCACGAGTCACCACCTCGAACAAAGCTTCATCCCTCTTGGATCAAGCTGTGACCAGGTCTTCTCGCAATTTCCTTGGCTGCACTAGGTAGGCCATCGAGACTGCACTTTTCTACACCAAAGTAACCAATTCAGAACACGTTGATGTATTGCTAGTTCATGGGATATATTCATTTACTACAATGGAGAATTACTTACCAGTCTCAGGTTGTCAGCCTTATTCAGCTGAGCAGCAAATTCCTTGAGGACCGGACACTCGATCGATGGTGGGTTGCTAAAGGTGTGCACAGCCACAGATGGACCTCCCTCGAACAGTTGAGGGGGAAGGATAATCGCCTCTCCCTTGAGAAGGCCCTTGCCTTTCTCTGATCCAGGGGGCACAAAACTTGGCCTAGTTTCTGGAGGAGGATTTTTGAGGGTCTCAGTAGCAAGGGGTACTATCTCCTCGACCGGCGCCATGGTCTCCTTTGGGGGTGCATCCGTCCTGGCTTTTTTGGACTTCACTTTATCGCAAGTCTTCACGATCCCCTTCTTCTTTTTTGAGGGATGCGGTGACAGATACATCCTCATCTGAATTCACAATAGTAAAGGGATCTTCGTCACCAAACAATCAAGAATCAGCATTGCTTGAAGACATGACCTAAAAACAGACAAGAGAAGAGCAAACGATTAGTACCTTTGTTGTCTTCAACAGGGGTTTCAAGAGGAATTCCGGTTGCATTCGCATCTGTATTCTCCCCGATAGGTATAGGGGGAAATAATATTGTAAGTCATTCCATTTAAAGACCTTAGAATATTCTAAGATTTTCTTCATATCTGCATCAAGCTCCTCGATGCAATCATCGTCTTCTTGGGTCCAATCATCCTTTATCACTCCAAGACCCTCCGTCTCTTGATGGTTCCACAGCAAGCAATAGTTCTTGGGTGCCCTTACAAACAAGAAGTCAGGCTTCCATTCAGACGAGCCACCAGACGCCTCGACCATCTTCTTAATGCCAGATCTAAGGCGTCTCTTCACGATGTACCAATCTTGGAAAGAGGTTGATGCAACAACCACTTGGAAGAAATACCTTCACAATACCAACCGAGGTCTCACTTTTACATATTGACATACTTTCATGAATCCCAAGACAAAAGTTATTAAATTTGGGGTGAAACGAGCAAGGGGAGTCTTATAGTGCTGCACAATCTCCTCAAACAGAGGGAAGAGGGGTAATCTAAGTCCTAGATGAATAAATCGGTCATACACAGTAATTCTTCCCTCAGGAAGAGAATTAGCTCTCTTGTTTCTTAACAGGGCTTTATCCTCTAGATCTAAAGGAAGGTCGCACCTTGTTCTAATGTTTTCTACCTTATCAACAGAATCTATGGAGGAAGCGAAATCTTCAATGGTTTTTCCCTCAAAATCTCTAACCATGGTTCCGCTACTAATCTACCCTGACTGCAATTCAAAAAGAAAATGACTTTGAATGAAACCGGGATGGTCAGATCCGAAAACTTACAATTGGAGGAGGGTATGACCACTCGCCTTTCGAGTTGTAGCTTCCCAGTGTTCTTCCGAATTCCTGGTAGCAAATCTCCTACTGGTAACGTCACTGGGGCAATATATTGGTAAAGGCTGTGAATATTCCGACAAACACAGTCGGAGCACTCTGACAGGGAGGAGCACTTTGGTTTTTTGCGAAAAGACAACGTGGCAACGTGGCATTGTCTACTTCGGGATCGAAATTGATTTGGCCACCATTGGCCGCATGGCATTGTCTACCCTGGTTCATCACTCAGTACTCCAGTTATTATGAGATGGATATTCTTGAATGCGTTGCGGTTCAGTACTAAAGCTATCTACATTTCATTGCTAATATGATAGTGTACTATGAGAACCTTCATTGCCCGGGCAAGCAGTGATAGAATGTGTAGTTAAGGAAAACCGAATTAGGGTTTTCGTAGTTGACGGCTAGGGTTTCTACATCATTGTCAATATATGCCACACTATACACACATGTTTAAAATAATATTTTTTTTTATGGTATCACCCCGACGTAAAGGAAAGGGCCCAAAACTTGTGGTATACTTCTTATTCTGCCCGAGTCGAACTCTTGATGAAGCTCTTGCGCATGTTCAAAGGTATCAATACAGTGCGTGAAATTCACATGTCCATAGTTTCTAATTAAGAATAAACCTAGTGTAGAATTAAGGGCCAGATTGTTTTAAAAAAATGTAATTGACGAGTCCATATCCATCTGGGATTATTGGAGTCAGCCCATCCGGAAATATAAGCCCAACAGACTCTATTAAGGCGGTTTGACCAGCACAAAACCGAATAGGATTTGGATATCCTCCAAGCAACTCCATTCCTATAAATAGGGTTGATCATACAACAATTGAGGTACACTATCTCTAGCACAATACTACTCTCATAGGTTCTTTAAACACTTTTTTGACTTAAGTATCGGAGTTTCTACCCCCGAGAGACCCCCTAGCCGGAGTTCCACTACCAAACCGATGGTGTAAAACACAGCTTTGTCAAGTGCCACACCAAGTGGAACCTGAAAAACTAGGGTTTGTCTCATGAAAACCTTCTCAGGTTTCCCTAACTTTTTTTTTGGTGCGACTTAGGGTTCCTGGGATTATCAACACAATGGCTAGGGTTGAAGAAGACGTGAACAGCACAGTATCTTCCAGTAGGCAACGGAGCCCAGCCGATAACACCACCTTGGCAGAAGTCCAACAAAGACAAGAAAGAAAGAAGGTGGGAAAAGGCCATGAAGGAGGACCCAAAAAAGAACCAGAGAACGAACATTTGGTCCTCAGTTTTTCATAGCCTAATCAAAAGAAACAAGACAAGGCCAATCCAGCGACAGAGAAGGAGGATTTGCCCCCTCCTCGAAATGCCACAATGTCCAGCAAGCACTTGGAAGATAAAAAATTAGTCAAAATCGAGGCGAACTTAAGAAGTTATGGGATAACAGCGATCAAAACCAAAGGATGAAAAGATATGTCTTCAAGGAAACAAGGCGTTGCTGTCTCCTTGGAAAGCCAGATCCAAATGAACAAGAGTTAGCTAACTTGATTAACGAGAAGGAAGCGACGCACTTTAGGTCTTCTCGAGAAGAAACAAGGCAAGCAAAAGGTCCAGGAGGAAGGGGACTACCTTGAGTATTCGGATCGCGAAGGCTTCTTGGATAACACTTCAACCACCACTCGAGACACCGTTTACTAGAATGCTTTCAGGAAGAAATATCCAGCCTTTGATATGGCCATTGAAGAGTTTGATGCGGTGACAGACGCAAGGATCCCCGAGACCATTACCAATGAGAATCCCCAAGCGTCGAGGTTGTGGAAAAGGGAGAATGGAACCCTCCGAGAAGGGCCAATGTTCACAATCGACTGGGACCCAACTGGCATCGAAAAAGTCCTCAAAGGGAGGAATACTTACCTTTCCATAGACAATACCAGGACGACGGCGATACTGGAGAGGTTTATGGGCGGGGGCATCAACGTCATCTTTAGTATTCACCTCTCAGGTGGCAACAACATAACCACCATGAAGAGATCCCACCTTATATTCCTCGAGGTTAGCAGAGAGCAAGAGGCCAGAACGCTCCGATCCGAGATGAGATGAGGAAGATCAAGAACCCTAGCATTTTTGGTTTTGATCCCACCTTATATTATTTGGTTTTGATCATTTTTACTAAACCAAAATCCAAATTCAAAACAATTTTTTTAGAAAATTAAAATTAATATCGTAAATTATAAATAGAATGTCTATGTACACAATTTTATGATGTTTGTTCAATGGAAGAGTTTTCACATATGATGTGTCTGTTCCATTGGATTTTTACTCTCCCAATGATCTATTTTATTTGTAATCAATTGATTTAAATTTTCCTTTTTCAAAGTCCATTAGGTAAAATTTTTTACATATATATATATATAGTCAAAACATTTTAGGATTTTCCAAACATTCTACGTAATTTAAATTCATCATTGTAACTTATCGTATTTAATAACGAGAATGGTGTAAAATGATTTGACAGAAACACTAGTCGCGCAACGCGCGACGGGTACAAGACTAGTTTAAAAAAAAGTCTAGTCTAATGATGTATTTTATTCTAGCTTTAATTTTAAAGAAACAGTGCTGAATAGAGAATATTATGAACAAATATCTCTTTATTAGTGGGTGTCAAATCCTTGCCTGATATACCCAAATAAACTAATTATCAATTCCAGCGGCAAAATCAAATATACAAAATCCCGCCCTAATTCCACTCATCATTTATTTCATTTCACTACTGTATTTAGGGCAGTTCATTGGCTGTTGGCCTTCTAGGTAGGAGGCAAAATAGATTTATGGTCAACCTGGATCCTGAATTGGAGGCTGGGTGCGGCTCAGTTCTGACGCTGCCTCGAGTTCCTTTGCTAGTATGATACTCTCTCGGTTAAAAAAAAAAAATTCCACCTTTAGTTTTGAAATTTATCCTTAATTTAGTACAATTTCAAGACATAACATTTACAATTTTCTGGAACGGAGATAAAACTACTCCTATGACAGTACTCTTGCACAGTTTCAGCCTGCCGGAGTTGGACTCCCGATCTCCAACTCCTTATGATATATACACGCCGGAAAAATTAGAGTGTAACCTGAAACAAATGCGATAACTTCACTTGTCAACAGGATTATGCAGGAATCCAGCAATCAATGTTTTGATTTCATTCGAAGAGGATCTTATAACATGGTTACTTTTTTTGAAAACAACTAAGTTAGAGATTGATCGCATTCTATAAATTAAATAAATAATGAAAGAATAATGATTGGTACAAGGAAAAAATGATAAGGAAAAATTACAAGAAAATGATCTTACCCATCCATTGTTCAAATTTTCCAAACATGATTTATGCATTTAAGGTTAGGGCATAGTTAAGATCTTGATACATCATTCTTTATCATTTTTTTCTTGTACCTATCACAATTCATAATGAAAATTGTATTTTGAACATTGCTAAAAAAATCCATCTTTATAAGGCGAAATCATGATATTCTATACCTCTATGTATACTTCTAATCTCGTCCGTAAACTAGTTAGAGTTGGTTAGCCAATTGGAGATGTCTTGAATGTTATAATTAAGAGCTGGTGGTCCGGAGAAATTATTTAGTGTACTCGCCGTACGACATCAATTTATAGATATATAGTTTTAGGGAGAATCTTTGATTTTAGAATGAATTGAGTAAAATTCATGACGGTCATTAAAAAAATAATATTTAATACTCTGCAAAATAATAATATTTATTAAAAACTTTCTACTTTCCTCAATCACCAGTCATTTATTTCATTTCACTAATGCTTTAAATGGATTAAAGATTTAAGAGATAATGATCTATCTTCTTATGAAGAAAAATATTTAATCAAGATTGCAATTTAGTTCTGTCCATAAAGTACGGAGTTGAGATTTTGGTCTATTGACCTTTTTCAATGGTCCTTGAACTTTGCATAGATGAATTTTGCACAACTTTGCATTTGTGCTGTGAGTAAGACTACATTTTGTTCGGTTTTTGTAATAAAAAATACCCCCACTCAATGGTCACTATTACAGCCAATTACTATAACTTTAGCTTGCTAAGCTAAAATTACCGGTTATAAAGATCAGTGGCTTTGTTGGGTAAATTTCCGCAATCAACCATTCAGTTGGTCGCATTCATGGTATTCATAGAGTTTTAAACATGTACTCACTCTTTATTTCATTTTGATACGGTATTTAGTAAAGTTTGTTGGTGGTTGTCCTGGTTGGAAGATACAATAAATTCAAGATCAATGATTTTTGGTTTGCTTCTTGTGCCTATTTATTGGAGGATTCCTCAAAGTTTTTTTGATGTATTCCTGCGGTTTCAGTTCTAAATCTTTCACCTCAGTAATATTCCTTTTCCTCCATCTGCATCTTATCTTGCTTCTTTTTTCTTTTTCTTATTATTATTATTATTATTTTTTTTGTTTTCGGGGATAAGAAAACTTCAAGAGCTTAGAAAGATCATGTAATAGTACTTATTTTCATTTCAGTACGGTAATTAATAGATCTTGTTGGTAATTGACCTGTTTGGTAGATACACTAAATTCCATGATAAGTAATTTTTTGGTTTCCTTCTATGCTTATATATTGGATAGTTCCTTCAATTTTCGTCCGTCATTTTCCCCCGGTTTCGTTCTAAATCTCTTACCGGCCAACTACTTCAGATATATTCCTTTTCCTCCATCTTCATTTTATTTATTTATTTGGATAAGAATTAAACACTCATTTCCCTATGTAGAGATTTCAATTAGAAGTGGCGTATCACCAATTAACTACTACAATTCACAGCTTGACTTTGAAAAGTTTTACAGCGTCTCTGAGCCCTTATGGTTTATTCAATAGGAAATAGGTGGT